TAAACAAATGTGGATTTGACCTGTAAGAGCAGCAAGGAAAAACCTATTTGGTCAAACCTGTGACTCTTTCCAGGAAAAAGACATTTGTGAAGTGAAATGATTCACATTTAGTGGACAGGAGAACAAGAATATGATCACGTGACAAACACTGACAAAGAACCATGGTTGCATTGATGTGAAGTGTCTGGGGAGAGAGCTCTCACTGACCTATGGAGATCCGCTCTGAACGACTCTCCCTGTCCTCTTGGAGACGATTCCCCCAAACGATTCAAAAGAAGCATCTACAAAACACAGAAGAACACAAGAGATCAGAGGTCGGATGGAAATAAAGTCTGTGATATATGAAGTCTACAATCAAGTGTTTCTGAAGTAAGGGTTGAAAATACATGAGAACATTTTGGAAAAAAAGAGAAACTGACAGATGGACAGCACAAGCCTTACCTTGTACAGACAGCTTCCCAGTTAAAGATGTTCAATCTGTAAACAGAGCAGAAAGCCCTGTCACAAACGTTGAGTGGACCCCCCCCACATACGATCCTCAAGGCTGATCATCCAGTGTCCAGCTGTCAAAGGCACTTTTCCACCTGAGACATGAATCAAGACTCAAAAAGCATCTTGAATTTTGCAAACATCTCTAATAGAAAGAAAATCCATGCTTCGTTTATTATTAATACAGATAACTTAAAAAAAAACATCTGATAAGCAACAGAAGATATTTGTTCTGAATACATACCGAGCAACATGAGACGAGGAGTCTAAAGTAGGTGGAGTGTCCTTTGGCCACCACTTCTAAAGACAGCTGTGGAGCAGAGGAATAAACCTGTGTTGAGAATATTAGCTTTATTACACGAGGATTAGGACGGCAACGATTCACTGCAGTATAACTGAGAAGAGAAACAAACTAGACGAGTGAGTCCATCTGTCTTTGTCAAGTGGGCCTTCAGCAGCTGGACAACATACTGATATCACACAGTAATATTAGTTCAGCTTCAACACCAGTTCGGCTCTAACATTACTACAGCTGTAGTGGAGTTAAGGTTCTAGTGAAAATGTACAGAAGAGGACAAACTCACAATAATGCTCCTCGCTGCAAAACAACTGACCACACAAAAGACAACGAGAATAACTTGTAAGTGCTTTTTAGAAACGGTCCTAACCTACAAAATACTCATTTCAAAATGAGCTTCTCTGCTGTACTCACAACTCAATACATGGCTCAGTTGATGGAGCACATGCAAGTGCTGAAGCTGAGTTACACTTCTGATCAGTCTGAGTTTGTTTAAAGACACCAAAAGTAAGGAAACAATGCAAGAGGAAACTTCTCTCAACTTACCGAAGACTTGCTCATAAGATGCAGGACTCAGATGGATAATCCTCCAAATAAAGGTCCAGAGTTGCTTCAAGACTTTGTGGTCCACGTGTCTTCTAGAAATGAAGCAGCGTTCCGTTGTTGCAGGATCTCTGCTGCTGATTCTGACGTCGCCCCCAGAATGCAATGCTGTTTACAGTGTATTACGATATTTTAAGGAAAACTGCAAGCTGCTCATACATATTTCCCAGAATGCATTGTTTTCTACAGCACAGTACCGTTTCAATGGAAGACAGAATGTTACCGTCAGAATTTGGACGTTTTCTTGCAGCAGTTCGTTACGGTGTAGTTTTAAAGGTCCAGTGTGTAAGATTTAGGTGAAAGGGAACTATTGGTAGAAATTTAATGTACAATCATCCTCGTGATGTTTTCACTAGTTCATCTCATCTACATCTGGAGAGGTGCCAGTTCACCTCCTGGGCACTGAAGCAAGGCACCGAACCCCCCAATTGCTCCCCAGGCACCTTCATGGCTGCCTACTATTCCATGTGTGGTCACTGTGTGGATTGTGTTCCCTGTGCTCCGTTCACACGGATGGGTTAAATACAGAGGTCAAATTTCCCCATGCATGTTTGCATGTGGCATGCTGTGTGTGGGACCATAGAGAGGAATCTTAATCTTTATACACAACCAGACTAGATGCGGATGTGAACCACTTCAGGTAATGATGTGACACTTCTGGTCTCCTTCTTGTGGCCCAAACAAAATGGATGTGATTCTAAAGTTGCCCACTTGTAAAATAATATCACAAAACTAATTCAGGGTTGACTTGTGACCCAGATCTGGTGACCAGAACTTAACTTTCAATTTCGTTTACAACCTCAGTTGTTGTTGGTTATCCTACAAATACACTATCAATACATTATCCTACGAGAATATAATCAATACAGTATATATGGATATATCTGCGACACTGGATGGTGGCAGCGATACAAGAAGGAGGTGGGGGGGTAATGTGGGCGAACACATCAATGTTCACATCCTATACTAGCGGTTGCCATGGGAGACAGGCTGCATCCCTCCTGGTCCTCATACTGCAGCATCCACTCGGTGCTGTCGCCATGGTGACATCCTCCAGAGAGAGAGAGAGAGAGAGACAGAGAAGAGAGAGAGAGGGAGATGTAAAGCGAAGGAGAGAAAGACAAAGAAAGGTAGGGGAGGAAGAAAGAAAGGAGGGCGTAGGGGGATGGGGGGGGCAGATGGAGAGACTTTAATCCTCCCCCATCAAACCCCCCATCTCCAAACGCATTCATTGGCGTTGACGGCAGCACTGAGCCGTGGTGTGGAGGAATGTTGTGATTGGCTTTCAGGAGTAAAACGAGATACAAAGATAAAGTTACGATACTTTTCTTATTGTCAACAAATCCCACGAAAAAGATGAAGAATCTGAATTTCCAAAAATGGATTCAAACTGCGTGTGTGTGTGAACGAGGGATTACCAGGCCAATTTAAAGAGGGAATAAGAATAAGGTCATAATA